AGGATGCAAGAACTCGCTTGTATCCTGCAATTTTGTTTGTGTTTAGGCTGTTTTGCCTCTTTTTATGTCTTGAAAGTTTAATCCATGTGTCTTAGTTTTGAGACTGAATCATGAGCTGCATATCATATACCTCTGGACTGTCTTATCTGTCTGGACTTGCATTACTTCATGTACTATTAACTTCTTTGTGAGCTGTTTCATAAATTTACCTATTTCAGTATGAACTGTTAGTCTTCTGTTGCTGTTACGGCATGTAGAATATTATATATGGGAAGATCTATTTAAGGTTCATGCCCAAGATATTAAACACCTATTAGTGGTTGTGGTTTCAGGTAATGTTTAAATTTCACTGCATCCACAAGGTGGTGCTCCAGGGAAACGCCAGCTTTTGATTTTGTGCCTGTTAGGTCTGCTGAACAACTTTTTATTTTGAGTTTACATATTTTAGTATATGACATTCTTAATTTAGAGGTTGTCTGATTGGGGTTGGGGAGAGGGTTTACAACATAGTGCAAGAAGTCCACTTTGGTTTTAATCAAGGAATGGATACAATGCATGAGAAATTTATGGCATAGGTAAGGGTAAGACATTGATAGTACTGTCCAAACACATTACAACATATATGTGCAAAAGTAAGTGAGGTAAGTTAAACATGGATCTGGTAAGCCTTTTTCTCTTCCAGTTTATATTCTGGTACTTTAGATATATTTTCAGAAATGAAAATTGATAGTCTTGAGTGGTAGAACCTTTTTCAGCCAAAAAATCAAGTTTTAAAAAAATAGTAAAGTTATGTAATCATTAATATGAGGGCAAAATTTAGTATACTTTGTTCTAGGGAGCAGAAATCACATGGAGGTGATTTTTCCCAATGGTGGGTGGATACTCTATATGTCTATACTTCCCTCCATCTCTGTTCTCAATGGGCTGCGGGTGCTCAGAATCTCTTCCTTCATCCTTCCAATCATCCCACGTTGCCTTGTAAAGGAATCGTCATGCTGAACAAGTATATAGGGGATTGGGAAACTCCCTTAGGAAAACCAGCAAAATGGGAGTGGTGGAATGAGTGCTGAGTGATGAAAGGTCGTTTCAAATTTATATGCAATGTGTATAACTCTTGTGTGTGTAACTAAACAAGTATGTAGTAACAGGGCTCAGTGAGTGAGAGAACAAAGGAATTTTTTCAAGCCTCCTTATAATGTGTATGCAAAAGGGATATTGTATTGTTCTTTAAAGTCTCCATTGCTTCAAAGATCAAAAGGACCCACGTTGCTAAACTAGCACAGGTCATGGCTGATATGCTTGCCAGTCAGAAGGAAATGGTTGCTCTTGCTTTCATCTTTATTAACAGTATAAAAGGACTTTTATTTGCTTTTTAGCAACTTACCAATCATATTCGGGATACTCTGCCAGCCTTCAGAAGCAAACTCCAGAGCCAGCTGCTTTCTATAGAACATGAAGTAGAGGTATACAAGAACTTCAGACCAGAAGATCCAACCAGAAAAACAAAAGCCCTGTTGCAGTGAGTGTCCAGTCTTTTGTCTGCTTTTCCACTTTGTATAGGTTTGTTTTGCTTTTGGTTTTTTTTCTTCTTTCTTTCTAGTGACTTTAAGTGTAAAAATTATGATATGGGTAAGGATTCTATATGCAAACTCCAAAGAATTCTGTGCATGATGTTCCAGAACACTTTATTTACTCTACAATTTCAGCAGGGTTTCCCCTAAGCTAATTTTAGTAATCCTAGAAAAGAGAGACATCAGAACAGGAAAAGGTACAAAGATGGGCAAAATAGATGATCGAAGGTAAATAATGGCTTCTGATTGTATAGGTATGTTCTTCAGCCTGCCAAAAAGATGACCTCAAGCAAGGGGAGGAGATTGTGTTTAGAAGTCTGTAAGATGAGGAGTCTGAAAGGAGAATAGGAAATGCTTCTTTTTCCAATATAAAAACTTGCCTGTCCAAAAGAATTTGAAGATGACAAGATCAAAATTAACCATAGATGGTAGTCCTTCATGTGACATGCACCTAAGCCACAGAGCTATTTACTGTAGGAGCTGATACTAAAAAATCGTGAGCTTTCAGAAAGCAGCGAGGCAAATTCTTGGGAATGGGAAAGACATTTAAGGTTAGTAAGTACCAGGACAAATTCCTGCTGTATGGAACCCATGAACAGCAACTTATTGAGGCCAAGAGCGTATTTGGGAGACGTACGATTGTGTGTTTGCTCTGTTCTCCTAGGCACTTATTGTTGGTGACTGTCATGATATGGCTTTTTTTCCGCTGTAGTGCAGCCATTCTTACGTTGAAGTGATAGTGTATTGGGGTGGGTAAATCTCTTTAAAATCTCTTTCTTGTGGTTTGTCTCTGGGCACATATCTGACAACAAGCAGCAAACTAGATGGTGTGATGTGCTACCTGTGCTTGTGTTAAAACTGACCTGGCAGATGTTGACCCTTTTTGGCTCAACAATTAATGGATTGAATGTTGGTGGTGTTTGTTGGAGGAATTGCAATGATTTCTGGAGCTACATTATTATCCTAAGTTCCAAACTAGAAAGCTTTTTCACTGCTGAAGTCACTGTCCAGTTTGGCTCTTGTCAAACAGACATGTTTTGTGGATAAGACTTTGATAATGCTGTTGTCATGTGATGAAACAGAGATGACTGTTCATCTGACTTTGAATCAAGTGGAAGTGGAATGGTTGCCTTTTTCTTTATTGTGGGTTTAGCACTAAGGAAAAAGGGTAATGCTGACACCACAGTTGAACCCCCGTTAGCACCCGCTGCTTTGTTTCATGCAACTTCCTTCGTCTGTTTGCAGGGATGCGTGATACTCAGTATTGTGTTCCTTTTCACCTGAAAGGTCTGCTGTTTTCTCTCTCTTCTCTTTTTTAAATTATAGCCCTCCGCAGCCACTTCTGTGTTCATATGCGATTAAAATTTACCTCTTAGAAGAGCAAGCATCTAAAGGAAGAGACAGAAGCATGTAAAATGGGTCTAGCTCTTTTATATGACTGTTGTCATATTCCTACTCTAACTGATTTCAAAAGTTTTCATCCTTCTCAGTTATCTGGGATAGATGGTAATAGCACTGGATTGTGAAAATGTGAAAGTTCTGGACAGGATTCATCCTCTAATTAAAAATCTGGAGTTCAGAAGAATGGTCACTTGAATTCTTGAATTAGAGAGGCTTCCTTGAGCTAGCTGAAGACTCTGATTTACTCCTTGTTTTTGTAACAACTGTGTCCGAAAGAGTAGACGTAAGTCTGTCCCCCATGATTTTACTTCAGATGTTTTGGTTGCAAAAACAGAGGGGCATCACCTTTGACTGTTCATGACAGTACAACACAGGTGGTTGTTTTTTTTACTTTGTATATTTGACTAAACTGCTAGAAACACATTTAAAGTGTTGTGAATTGTTAGGGGTTGCTGGTATCTCATCCTTGTTCTACTATTGTAACACATTTTAAAGGAAAAAGAATTGAATTCCATTTCAGCCTAAGTCATCCTACTTGATACTTCCCTGCACAGTTTTTTCTAATGTCTTCTTTATAAGTAGGTGCTATAGGAGAAATTAACTTCTTTTGTCAGTAAAAATTCTCACTTTTTTTTTTTTCTGGAGTGTGGAAAATAATGTAACTAGAATATTTTCCTCGGATTCTTGAGAACAAGCTCCATAATGCATATAAGAAAAAAAATAAATCTAGCTCACCTTATCCCATAAGATGATCTTAAGTTTCTGAATCCTCTTTGAAAATTGAGTTTGGGGCCCTACACTTGGACTGTTTCTGTAATTCTGTTAACCTGGCAATATCGGTATCTGAGGTTGACATACAGTTGATACGCAGTGTTACTTTTTGGCAGAATCTGTGACTTCAAATTTTATGACCAAGTACCTGTACAAGCTGGGAGAAAAAAAAAAAAAAGATATATCCCTGAATCTTCCATAACTAGAGGAATTCTCATTTTCTTCTAAATGCTCCTGCTGCAGAACTCTGGGCACGACCAAGTAAGCTGGAGCTTGTGGCACTGACAGCTGCCCTGCTGATGTGTTAGTACTGCTTCTTGGGCTAGCTTTTTGGCATGCAAAATTAAGTTCCTTAATGTCTTCCAAATTTTCCAGCAATGGATCAGCTTAGTGGCTTGATTCACATCATGCTATTGGACTGTATCTTTTTGAAAGATATTAGAAAGATCAAAGGGTCATTGTGGAGAAGTAAGCTCTCCACAAATGGTACCTTCTGGCATAAGACTGGAGATTTTTGCTTGTGGTGGTCTGTCCCATTGAGCTCTGTGGTTTCTGTAACAGCATCTAAATATGGGTGTGCTTTTCTATTCAAATACAGTGTTATAGCTTAGATTTTAGGACTTTTATTTGCTTAGCCTATTAAAAAGACTGCTATCACTGTTTCTTCTCTTAAAAATTAAAAATTTATGTAATAAATAACGGTAGCATTTGCAATTTTTGTGATCATTGATAAAACATGAATGTAGTCTGGTACTCTGCTGTATTTGTAGCTGACTTTAATATACAGTTTCATAAACAGTATTTTTTAAAATAATACAGCATTTATGAAGAAAGACAATAATATATTGAGCTATGTCCTGTGAGACAGAAGGGACGTGTGTGTAGGTATGTATTCTATGGATTGGCAACTTGGCTGAATGAATTGTTGTTATAGATACTTTTGTCAGTTCCTAAATACGTTTTAATAGGACACTAGTAGTCACATAGTATTGAAGTAAGAGTTGGTAGTTGACATGATTAAATGGTTATGTATGGTTTTGGTTTTTTTTTTTCTCCCCCTTTTGAAATTTAGGATGGTACAACAGTTTTCAGTGGACTTTGAAAAAAGAATCGAAGGATCAGGAGATCAGGTTGATACACTAGAACTTTCAGGAGGTGCCAAAATCAATCGTATTTTCCATGAACGTTTTCCTTTCGAACTAGTGAAGGTATTTATCCATCTTGCTGGTGTGCTTTGTGTTTTATTTATGTATTCTTACCTTCATATTGATAGTAGTAAAGCCAAGATAAAGTTTGGTTGAAGAACATGCTCTTAACTGTGGAAGAAATGACATGAAGTGATAATTGAGGCATTGGGCTTAATTTCTAGTTTTGGATCCTGAGACATGCTAAGAATTCTGAAATATAGTAATTAGAATGTAATTATAGTCCCAGTTGTTAATGTTTACCACATTTTTTTATTGTTTTAGCACAAATGGCATCTTCCTTCTGGTTACAGGGCAGGGAAACAACTACAGTTGTTGTGTTTAAGTAGCTAGTACCTATTAAAATTAGAGTTATGGAAAATCGCCATTTTCTGTGTTTTCTACTTCCTGTATTCACAGCATTAAACCAAAGCCAGCTTTCAGTCCTACATTTTCATAGTGGGAGGTGGAGCAGAAGCAGATTTGGTGTTTCGTGATAACGTTTCTCCTCTTGATACATCTCCTCTTGCTTACCCATCCTTTGGGTAACAGAATAAATGGAGGTTCGGTGGGGTGTGAACTAATGAAACCTGGTTCCTATGAATTTATGTTACATATTCTTTGATATTTTCTTTCACCGTGGCAACTTCAGCTTCCCCTCACCATGAACCCTACTCTACCTCTAGTCCTCATTCTTTTACACTTTTCCTAAGCTTCCTTTCTACCTGTTTTATGTTCAACTGCCTTAATATCCCCTAACTTTCAGTTGGATAAGAACCAGACAGGGTTGTGGCTGGTTCCAAGGTTTAAATGTCAACTAGCAACCCAACAGAACAAGTGACAACTGGGCTTAGGTAATGACCCATTCATTTGTGACAACACTAACTGCTCTTCCAGCTAGCTGGCTTTCAAGAAACTGAAAGAAAAGCTTTACAACTTCATAACTGAGTCCATTCCTCTCTTAAATTTTGTTGAAAAACAATAGGATGGGAAGGGGATGATAAACAGAACATAATCATAGAAGTTGCACTGCATTAGGAAACCAGGTTTAAAAAAACCTTGCATCTTCCAAATCCTGTTTCTGGCTTACTCTATCAATTCATGTCTCTTTTGGGATGTTCTGCAAAATCGTTCCAGCTGTTGGTGTATCTGGAATGGAAGGGTGCATAATTTTCAACAATCCTTACTGCTGCATGTAGCCTTAGTGTTAAAATATTTAAAAATATTTCTGCTTTGCTTAGCGTAATTAGAAATTACTCTTTTGCCAGTTGAACTTGCTTGTCTTCCAGTTATATTGGGACAAGTAATATTTTCTGTTTTATTTTAAAAGTTCCCCATATATGATCTCATGTGCTTTTGTTCCTCTAGATGGAATTCAATGAGAAGGAACTGCGGAGAGAAATAAGTTACGCAATCAAGAACATACATGGTATCAGGCAAGTGCTCCCATGTTTTCAAGCCCAGTCACTTTATAGAGGCTGTGGTCTCTCTAACCTGTAGACATGCTGGCTGTTGAGTGGTAAACTGTATTACTAATGTACTGCTCCCAGCAGCTGATTTTTTTTTGTTCCACTCCTACGCACTTCTGTTTTCCAGGTAGCTTTTATTGGTTGAAAAGCTGGTTTGCCCAAACAAGTTTAATTTACGTAGAAATCCTGAAAAATTATTTTACCAGAAAAAGTCATTGATTTTTCTCCATAGTGTCTGCAGTTCCATTCAGCCTGTATTCCTGAAAAGTCATAAGTTTCAGGGGAAAACTAGTGTCTTGATATGGAAAAAAAAAAACTTTTCAGCTTGTGTTGCAGCATTCTCCTTGCACTTATTCCCCTTTAGTCTCAACTATTTCTTGAAATGACTGATTTACAAGTGAGTTGGCTGAGGTTTCGCTTTGTGGATATGTCTGCCATTTATTAAGTTTGGGAAAAGGAGGTATTTGGTTTGGAATGACCTAATTATGTCACTTTGGAATGATCAGTCTGTTTTGGAGGCATACTTTATCAGATGCATACCCATTTTTGTTCTTTTGACAATAGAACAGGTTCTAAAAGGCTTGGGTGGTTCTTTTGTGGTTTTTTGGGTTGGTTGGTTTTTTGGTTCTTTTTTTTTCCTCCTACCTCTTGTGAGTATGTAGTATCTTTTGAAAGTATTGCTTACAAGCTTTGTTGTTCTTAATCTTCTGGAAAATGTTCTTTGTATTACTTGTAAAGTAACGTTATCAAAGCAACTTGGTGAGTTCTCAGCCCTGAAACCTTGAAGCAATGGAATACTTTGCACTAGCAAATGATGAAGTGATGCAAATCATCTGTAGTCCATTTCTACCTTATTTGAGTAGTATATCTTGTCAGAGGAAGTAACATGAAACAGACTACCCCAGTTTTTCCAAAGGTGTGAGGAAACCACTATTTTAGGCCAAGATAAAGGGCTGAGGTTGGCAGATGCCATTCATCCCTTATCTAAGGTTTGATGCACTGTTGAAGAGACTACTGCATTGTATCAGTACTCTTTAGAGTTCTTGCAGTCAAGAAGTAGTAGGGCATGTTTCTGCTTCTACATTCTTATGCATGATGGCACTTTGTTTTTTAAAGAGAAAGGGGCAAATATAGTTCTGCAGAATGTTATTTGTGTTAGGGATTGTTATTACACAGCTGTAAGCCTCTGAAAATGAAGATATGAGCAATTCAGTAAAAAAAAAAAATCTTCCTTGCATGATGTTTGTATTAGTGTCTTACATACTCTTTTGTCTCCACAGAACAGGTTTGTTTACTCCAGATATGGCATTTGAAGCCATTGTTAAAAAACAGATAGTCAAGCTGAAAGGACCTTGCTTAAAAAGTGTGGATCTGGTGATGCAAGAGTTAATCAACACTGTCAAGAAGTGCACTAAAAAGGTAACTTGCAAATAGATCTGGTAACAGAAGTATAACATGATGATAATACAAAGCCTGTCTGACATTTTATGGTATTATAAGAGATTTCTAATCTAGTTACTTGGTGTACACAATAAGACTCTATAAAGTAATTACAATTTCTGCAAAAGTCAAACCAATGTAATGCTGAAAATTTTCTTTTTATTCCTGGGTTTTGAATATATATATACACTTCATGATTGGAGTTTTGTTGAGTCAAGAGTTGCCCCCAGTTTCCTCTTTAAAACAATATTTTCATTGGTACTGAAAATGAAATGTAGGCAGCAATTCTGTGGATGTGTAAATCAGCATTTTAAGGTTTTCTTTTCCAGTGCTAATAAGATGAAGACACATTGAAACTTTTCTAAAGCGAAGTCCCCAAATGTGTTCAGAGATGCCTATCAAGGAGAGAAAAATGCTCTTTCTATATCGAAACTTTACTGGATAGCGCCACAGTTCTTTGATGTAAAGAGTCTACAACTTCACCTGTGCTTTTTTCATACATGACCCAAAATATCTGATCTCCAGCTGTCAAGAAGTTAGAAGTGGAAAGCTAGGAAGATTTTGTCTCCCTTGTATTTGTACATCCTTGCATTAATGTTGACGAATTGCTGCACAGAAATGTTGAACATTTAAGTGGAAAGAACAGTGCTAAGCATTGAACTTCCTGATGTGAATCATAGAACCATAGAATAGTTTGGGTTGGAAGGGACCTTAAAGATCATCTAGTTCCAACCCCCCTGCTGCAGGCAGGGACACCCTCCACTAGACCACGGTGCCCAAAGCCTCATCCAACCTGGCCTTAAACCCTTCCAGGTATGGCGCATCCACAACCTCTCTGGGCAACCTGTTCCAGTGCCTCACCACTCTCACAGTACAGAATTTCTTTCTAACATCTGATGTAAATGGACCCTCCTTCAGCGTAAACCCATGACCCCTTGTCCTGTCACTACACTCCCTGATAAACAGGCCCTCACCAGCTTTCCTGTAGGCCCCTTTCAGATACCGGAATACCGCAATTAGATCTCCCCGGAGCTGCCTTTTCTCCAGGCTGAACAACCCCAACTCTCTCGGCCTGTCCTCATAGGAGAGGTGCTCCATCCCTCTGATCAGCTTCCTGACCTTCCTCTGGAGTCTCTCCAACAGCTCCATGTCCCTCCTGTACTGCCCCCCCCCCCAGTTGAAAGTGTGTACATCAATGTGAAAGTTGTGCACATCAATTAAACTTTTCACTCAAGATCCTGTAAGTGTCGTAAGTTAAGAAATACGTTCATCAAAACTACACGTAGCATTAGTATGAGTATTTGGGAATGGTTTTCCTGAAGTGTACGCTTGTGTTGGTGTATACTCTTAGAATGAAAGCTCAAACTTCATACCCCCCAGCTGTGACTAAGGAAGCACGTCTGATATATTAATATATATGAAGCTTTTTTTTCTGTCACACTTTTCCCCTTCATAGGAAAGTTATCATCTGTCAATACTGTGCCTTCATTGACAAGTAACAGTTGCTCATTTTCAATTATTTTTTCTCCCATTACTCTGTGATATTCTAGAAGATCCCATTGACTCTTGCAGATCTTTTAGCTAACTATCATCACCCTCTGTTCATCTGTGTTACCCACCATCTCAGAGTGCAGGGCACCCTAATAGCAGTACAGGAGTAGTTCAGGCATGTAACCACAGATATGCTGAAGTTGTTGAGAAATAGCCCATCGTGTCCTTTGCATTCTTCTAAATAATGCAATTTTTTTGTACCAATGAGCAGGTAAAGGAGCTATTTCTCAATACAGGAAAGGATGACAATCTTTTGACAAAGATCATAGAGAAGCAGATTCACCGCAGTATTTTGAGCGGAATTTCCAGGTTTTTTAACTTTTGTCAAAGTTTGGAAGATATGTCACTTGAATTAATTGTGCAGATTCTTTTCTCAGTGCTATTGGCCAAATTTACTGTTGTGTTTTGCTGTTCACATTTTGAAGTATTGTTATTGGGATGTAAGAATGTTGCCACAAGGTGGAGCCTTCAAAAAACAAGAAACTTGGAATTATTTAAAGTGCCACTCTGGAATTAGGCACAGGAGAAGAGAGAGACATGGAGAAACCTCACCCCAAGGCTGATAGTGTGGTTCACATGTCCAAAGTGTCTTTTCCTCAATGTTCCATGGAGCAAAGCACAGAAACAATCCAAGGATTAGGTGTCTCCAGTTTCTCTGGAAAATGAGCGTTAATAGCAAGTAAGGCTTGCTGTGTTGTGTAGTTAACTTTTAGCCCCAGCATTTAGAATAATTGCTTCCCTCCAAAGAGGAAAGCTGGAGGCTTCTCTGTGTTCTACTGAAACTGCACTGCAGGTGTAAATTTCTATTAATTTTGCTTTTCAGTTGGCAACATATCCAAGATTGTGTGAAGAAACAGAAAGAATTGTTGCTGGCTACATTCGTGAAAGAGAAGAGAAGACCAAGGATCAGGTAAGAATAAATAGGAGATCTAACAGTCTGGGGAGATGTGCAGAGGAGGAAAGTTCCTGTACTTTGTACATAAGAAGACAAGAGAGACTTTGGGGTTTTTTTTGTCTTGGGTTTGTTTTGGTTTTTTTAGCAGGCTGCACACTTGTCGAAGGGGAGAGAAATTGCTTCTCTACCATTGAGCTTTGACAGAGGAAACTAGAATTGTTACATAAAATCCTACTCTAGTCTTTCAAGATTAGGATTGGTGACTTAAAGTAGTGTTGGCTTGTTCCTATGCCACAATGTGCCATCTTCTTAGCTGTGCCACAACAGCTGTTTGTAGGAAATTGATTCACGATTAAACAAACATACACAGAAATACCCAGCCCTTTTTCTACTTTGTTTCGGGTTTGGTTTTTACCATACCAATCCCATGTTCTAATTACAGTGAGGTCTGCAAGCAATTCTACTGGGACTCTTGCAGGAGTGAAAGGCCATGTAGTGCACGTGTGAGCTCCGGCAAGCGTTGCTGCTGAAGTTCTGTGTCGCTGAACAATAGCGTCAGCGTGCAGGCTGAGCTGAGCAACTTGGTCCCGCCTGTCTCCGGCCATGTTGACAGACTTGCTGAGGCGCGCAGTGTAGAACCGCTGGAACTGACCCCTGAGGGCTGTTATGTGCTTTGAAAGGCAGCACCTCAAATCTGAAAATTAATAAAGTAATTTCTCCTTTGGATTCTAAAATCAGCAAGAAGATTCAGAATTTTAAGCATTTGTTAATTATAGTTAAAGCACTATTCTGGGTTCATGGATGCACAGCTTTTCTGACCGTTACTTTCTTTGAAGTTTAAAAAACTAATTTTCAAAGAAACTTCTTCAGAATATTCGTCACCCAGCTAAGCACTCCAAATCCAGGACACTTCAAAGCTTAGATTACATGTGAGAAAATCCACTGGACGTGGAAACAGGAATTATTATCTGGAGAGTGCAGAGTCTAACAAAAGAAATATTTGGGGAAGAAGGGCTAGGCAGAGCTCCTAAGTTGTCTTGGACTCCTGGCTCTCTAATCCTGTCCCTGTGCGAGCTAGGGAGCTGTGTAGCATGTCCTTTAATCTGTGCTGTGAATGTACCTGTGAATGTAGTCTTAAAAATAATTTTTTAGAAGATTGTATTTGCTGGGCTTCTACTTGCAGGGAGTTCTAGTTAGCATACTCAGTTTGGAAGAAGGTACAAGTTACTTAGAATAATTGACTCTTTTTTCTTATAATTCCATTCTTCGTTGTGTGCACGTACCTGGCAATTTCCCAAAACAAAGTACAAAATACCAGCTTTCTGTAAATGCCAAGAATTGGTCAATAGGTTATTGTCACATGGTCATATCTTATTTATGCTGTTAGCAACTATTGTTAATAAAACATTAGTGAGGATCTTTTCAGAGGTAAGAGCTAGGCCCAAATCCCTTCTATCTTTTGCACTGAGGCACTTAATATCTTCTGGAAATTGTGAAGAATCTAGGAGAGATGCTGTGTTTGAGGAGCTGTATAGAAATAACTCTGTACACTCTGAGGAGATGAAATGCTACCATTTGGTTTGTTTCTTGCTCCTTGCTGATAAATGGAAGTCTGAAAAGATGGGGGCAAGTGCAGTCTCATGCATGTTCAAGAAACCATTCAAGGGTGGAAGTGAGCTTTCTGTAATATATTAGCAAGTTCTTTACCAAGTTAGATTATCAAGTCTAAATCAAATCCTGTCTCTGGGCTATTGAAGGCCTGGCAAGTGATACGTACGGAAACCATTCATTCTGTTATTTCATTGACCATCCTCTCTCTCAAGGCAGATGTGTGCACCAGAGTGGCTGTCTAATACAGGGCTATCTTACTTACCACTTCTTTGTGTAGTACCTAATGAAAATGTAGGTACCCTGGTTTTAGGTTTAAGGTTTGGGTCCCTTGCTGGCTTGGCTGGAATGCTGCAAATAGATAGAATTTTGCTTAACTTGCAAAATATAGCGCTAGAATCTATGTTATATATTATTAAACACGCTCTGGCCATGTATGATTGATCTTAATAAAATGGACAAGGACCAAGATAGTAAAAAAAAAAAAAAAGTCCACTGGGGAAAAAATAGCAAGAGGGAATAACGCTTCTGTAGTCTAGCTTATTGAACAAGCACACAAACAGAAGTGGTGGGATTTAGAAAATATTGTTGTTTTTGGCTTGAACGATTATGAAAGGAATATTCAATAATGCAGAAAACTGAAAAGTTCTGTTCTTTTCTCCCATCCTTTTCCTCAATCTCTCTCCTCTGACTTACCCACTCCCCTCTTTTTTTTTTTTTTTTTCTCTCCTGTCTTCGGCTTTCCCCCCCCCCCTTTTTTTTTTTTTTTTTTTTCTCTCCTGTCTTCCTTAATAGGTGCTGCTGCTGATTGATATCCAGGTTTCTTACATCAACACCAACCACGAAGACTTTATTGGCTTTGCAAAGTATGTATATAGAGACTTTGTTATAAAGACACTATTGTCTGGGGTTTTTTAAACTAAGTTCAAAACACTGGTCCTGAAGCATGACAGCAAAGATGCAAGCTGCAAAGTCCCAAACGTGCAGGAGCATGCTCTTTCTTAATATACACAGTATTGAACTCTGTCCCACTTGTAGGGGATTCTTCACCTCAGTTCACAAGCCTGGTTTTGCTCGTGGTCTGGAATTGCATGCATCTCAGGAAACAGCTTTGGTAAACTGATGCCCTCGCTTTAGGTTCTTGTTTTAGGATCACAGAAATGTATAATATTGGTGGTCTTTCCACATTGCTGCAAATGCATATTTTGGGAGCTATGATTCCGTGTGAAACAGTTTTGCTCAGAGTAATGGATGTCACTGAATTAGAAGTGTGCCTGCTGTTTGGTGTAGAGAATAATAGTAGCAGAATGCCCTGCAGGGCCTGGTTTGACGTTCTCCTCACTTAATTGAAAAGGCTGTGAGAATATTCCCCAGAATTTGTGCCTCAGGGACTTCATACCAACATTTTGACGCTAGTAAAAACATGAAAGATGTCTTCACTCTTTGAAGAAAATAACTGTTCCTTCAGTCATATTCACGCCTTATTTGCCATAACAGTGTTTGGAATCACCACAGGTTTCATCCATGTGGGATGCTGGCAACGAAGTTTGGCACCACAGTATGTATTATACTATGGCCTATTCTAGTTGGCACTGTGAAGGAAGGTCTCTGACAGTACATCTTAAAGGTTTAAAACATAGAGATCAGTAAGCTGAGAGGGGAGAAGGCAAAGTCAGGCACTGTTATGCGTCCGATTTTAACAACTTTCCCTAGAGTTGTTTGCAGGTCCTAGATATCTTTATCAGGTCTCTTGACAAATGACAGGATGTTGTAGGAATGGTAGCTGGCCTTCTAGAGGTCAAGATAACAACCTGCCTGCTATTTACTTCATCCTTTTCTGACAGGAAAAAGCCTGCTAAAAACACTCCATATATACTCATGGTGTGTGGTGTGACCTTGGGAAGTCACCTAGTCCAACCTCCTGCTCAGAGGAGGGTCAATGCTGAGTTCAGACCAGGTTACTCAGGGCTTTGTCCAGTCAGATCTGGAAAACTTCCAAAACCAGGGACTCTCCAGACTCTCTATGCAGCCCGTTCCAATGCTTGCCTCTCCTCCTCTGAAAAGACTTTTCCTTGTGTCAAGTTGGAACCTTCCATGTTTTACAGTCTTGGATTCTGGAGTGCCAGGTATATCTGGAGCTGTTTTGTTAACTCTCTCCCCTGGAAAAGTCCCCCTCATGGATGCTGCTGCTAGGGCCTGCAGTTCAGTCTGTGGTTCGCTGCTGTGTCTTTTCCAAGGAGTTGCAATTCCTGAGTTCAATTTCTTGGGAAAGCTGCTGCTTCTCTTGCAAACTGAGATCTAGAAATCCCCAGCTGCTGTGTGTGGGGTGTAAGCAGATTACAAATGGCTCTTTGCTTAAGTTCACTGATAAGTTCTTAAGCAAGTGTTTCTACAGGTTGGAACTGATGGGAAGGGAAGTTTCTTTGTTGACTTGTGCTCAAGTAGAAGAGAAAACTTGGATAACTAAGAACAATTTAAAATGTAGAATATATTAATTTGAGCTAAACAGTAGAAAATACACATTTTAAACTATGATGATATTATTGTTATAGCAAGTATGTTAGAACTAGAAAATGAAATCATTTTTGGGTAGCATATGGGCTTCTGCAGTATCTAAACATCCTGGACTATAGATTCCCCAGATTCGCTAGTGTTTCCTTTCTTTTGCTGAGTCTTCTAGCCAATTGTCTCATGTGACTGCAGTCTTTTATAAGTGTAAGTCCTGTGAACCTTGTTCATAAGAATGAGAGCACAAGACATTTCAGACTACCTTGCAGCATTGCAGGGCCTAAGGCCAGGTACAGAGCGATGTGAATTGACTTGAGAAGGTTTTAGGAATGCCAATTTTTAGAACAACTTGACAGAGTTATAAAGTTGTGAAATATTAGAATATTTGTCTTATTTAGCAGAATGAGTGGTAAAATGTTGGGATTAGGTTTGTTTCCAGGTGGTGTAACTCAAACATAGTTATATGCTTCAATCTACATAAAGAGTAATTTGTATTTAGAGCAGTAAATAGAGGACCAGTTGCTGGGCTATTTCTAAAAGGCATGGGTTTCTCAGTGTAATGTTAGTGGTCTCATTAGCTTTCCTAAGGTGATAAAATAAAATTTAAAAAAACTCAAAACCAAACCAAAAGAATGACAATTAGGTTTCCTAAAGCCATCTCTTGTGTGTTTCTCAAACAGATCAAAATTGGTGAGGGGTTAGTGCTGTGTTTTCACGTTGTTTAATCACAATTTATGCACCAAAGCTTATGCAACTCAGATGATGCACCAGAGAGATGCAGTGTTATTTAGTCAAAGATCTGGATGATAGAGATCTAAGCCCAGTGAATAGGCACATGGGATAATCCTTGTGGATCTTCTCAGGGACAGCATGTGGACTGCGGATTTGATAGAGTATGATCTGACGGACAGGATCAGAATTGGGACTGGGCTGAGTCTGGTGCTTCAGTAATTCTTTGGAACAGCAGCTGTGCACAAGAGTTGCAGGTTTGGCCCATAGGCTGTGATCCAAGCACATCTTTCTTACTCTTTCAGAGCAGTGTTTGTAGCTGATCTAATATGTATGCTTCTTTCTTCAGTTAATCAATGCCTGCCAAAATGGTATAATCTAATCCAAACAAAACTTCTCTCACCAGTGCCCACTCTGGTGCTCAAATAGCCAAAGCCTGCTGGTTGAACACTTCTTTCCTCTTTCCAGCAATGTTTTAATTTTATGGCCTAACACTTACAAACCACCACATAATGCAAATGCTTTTGGAATTAATGGCAACTTGTATGTGTTTGAGACAGGAGTGTGTTTTGTTTCACGAACTGGGATTACCATTGAGCAAAATATTTGAAATACGTATTAATTTCAAGTATGCTCTATTCTTATAAGATTCCAGCTTTTTGAACCAGCTTTGTGACTTGCTTCATCCATTGGCTATTTACACCCTCAAAGTGCACATAAATATTAGAATAATATCCAAAACAAACTGTCAAGACAAAGCTATTAAGGAGCCTCCAGCAGGGGAGGATTTTGTTGTACTGTGCTAAATAACAGAAATGGTTTGCTTTTTGTCTCTCTCGAATATTTATGGAGGCTAATGTTTCCAAAGTGACCCACATGAGCCATAATTTCTCTGTGTTTTTAGTAACCTTTACCAATCCAAGTAGGATGTTGTTACAAAGGAGACGATTAGTAGGAGCTGTCTGCTGTGCATGTCCCTTCTGTCCTAAGCAGGCATTCCTAAACTGTAAGAAAAAGTGGTTGAAATATGCACATATATGCAATGATTTTGCTGTGTTTCTTTGTTACTCTAGCTTTCTGTGCTGGAATCTGAAGTAACTATTATTGCTAAAAGTTATTCCTCGGGAATCGGCTTAGTTCGAGTTTCTTCAGTATAACTCTTTTCCTCTGCTTTCCTTAGTGCCCAACAAAGAAGCAGTCAGGTTAACAAAAGTGCAGTGGGAAATCAGGTAGGCACCTAACAGAGAATCGATAATGGCATGTGCAAGTTAATCCAAGCTGTTTGGGTTTTTTGGCTGTGTTTATTTGTTGCAAGTGTATCATTTACCTTTTCTGCTTCAAACATATATAAAATGCATCATCATCACCTTGTTTTACTGAATTTTTTAGAGCTGCCCGACTTCCATTGTTATCATTTATTAATATCTCTGCTACTGCTTGCACTGCTGGTTAGCATCTCCCCTCCCGTGCCATTTAGTGCATTGAATCTTCGTGTTACGCATCAATGTATTTTGTCATTAACTGTCAACTTGTGAATTTCAGAATCCAAAACACTGGTGAGTACTTGCTTGTGTGTGCTTCTGTCATAGTTGTTTTACTAGTTCTTACATGTTCACAGCTTCATAGCAGTGACGGGGCGATTCAGCAAGCAAAAGCGGATTTGCCTTTACCTCTTCTGAAAACTTTCAGTTGACTTCACAAAGATTTTGGCTATGTACCATAGTCCCCTTTCAAAGTAAACAAAGCATAACCGGTTGATGGTCTCAGATTAATTAGTGTTTTCACTGAGATTCATTAATGAAATTACTTGCTTGTCTCTTTTTATCACATAAGAATATGGGATTGATTCTGCAGGATGCTAAGTGCTTCCAAGCTTTGCTTCTTTCTTTGCTTTTATGTGGGCCAGGGGTGCTCAGTACTTCACAGGATCAGTCCTGGTTTTCATGAAATGAAAATGCTACAACTTTGAAGGTTTCTATTCACTTTGAGGGTTTTGCAAAGTCTTAAAGAGAAAGAAAATGTTATGGAATTAGTGCATGCTTTAAAAGGATATGAAAAATTCTAGTAAAAATAAAACAATGCAATTTTGTATAAATAATTACCTGGATTGAATGTCTTCCTGATGTTTTCACGTGCAATTTGGTCCAACAATGCTCAGGAGTGAAAGGTCAAGGTTTTCAAATGTGATTGCTGAGTTTAGATCCCTCAGGTGATAAACCTGAGATTTCAGAAAGTCTCCTATTCTGCTGTTGATGGGAGTTCTAGCATTTTTTTGAAATCTTAGTTGTCTTTTGGGGGATAGAAATCCAACCTCTTCCTCCAACCAAGAAATTGCTAGTTATTTTTAAGCCTTTAGTTAAAATAATCCATTAACTTGGATGTGATGGTCCTCCAGAGCCTGGCCAGTGTGAGTGACATTTTTGATGTAATGTATGGTTTGGATTAAAATGTAAAAAAGTTGAAAGGTCTAAACAGTGAAATGGCTTCAAAGGCTAGTGTCTCCTCTTTGAGGAGAGATTTCCTTCTTATCTAGCTGTGCCGGAACATGTGTCAAACACAACAACTGTCATCACTTTGGAGTGTCCCATAAAAGGAAAATCGACCAATTATCTGACTCTTCAAAAATACACAAATAAAATGAATGATTTTTTAATTAAGTGAATGTTGTCTCTCTAAAGAAATGGAGAAGCAGCTTGGCATTTTAAATTAAATGTTGAAACTGGATTACTTTTGATATAAAGGACTTTGCTGAACCTTTTATTTTAAAGATAATAAACAGATGTTTGTAAGTTAATTGTTTGGAGTTGAAAAGAATGAGAAAATGTTTCTGAAATCAAACTTCATTTTTGCAATTTGCTATTTCAGGGAACCAATCTACCGCCTTCAAGGCAAATTGTACGAGCTAAGTTCTGTAAGCTTTATTGTTGCTTTTTCATTTAGCTTCTCAGAGGGCAAAATTTGTCTCTAACTCATTGGTTTGTTGAATACTTGCTACTAAACTACTTACTGGTAAACCGTCTTGTCTGTAACATTTCCTCAACAAAGTGTAATTGCGGTTCATCACTTAACTGCTCCTAACCTGCTGTTACAAGTATGAACTAGTATAACTTAATGTTATAGAAAACTTTGAATAAAATTAACATTTTATAATTGATTGAGTTTCTCAAACTAAAATGACTAATTGATGTTTATTTTATTATATAACTGGAAAGCAGTATTTATCTGTTGTAAGTGCCTCTATTCATAGGAAACCTCTCTTTGAAAGGTGGGCAAATAAGTTTCTGGTAACCAAAAGGAACAGTAGCTATTGCTTAAATGAACGTGCTGTTTATGGGTACAGGTACTGTTACTGGTATTTTGTTTATACAAAGGAATTACTTCTGATTAGAAAAAATGAGTTTTATTAATAGACTTAGAAGTATTTAAAGTCTTCTGAGCATTCTTTTCATAGCACCAGGAGGATGAATACACCACAAACAGACTCCTTTCTAACCCTTCCACCTCATGAGTAAATAAATATGTGAATGCCTTTAATATTACTAATTAGAATTAATTGTCTAAACAGCAGTTAATTTTATAACAAGTTACTCCTGGTTCAGTGATGGTTAGGTGTAAGAAGTAGATCTCTGTATCACGTGCATTCTTTGGTAATGTCTATGATGAAAACATATACGTTTTTCCAGTTTGTTGCCGCATCATCAAATTATATTCGTTATCATTTCAAACAAACTTAAACTAATGTTCAATGAAGGAAAAAGGACTGGGCAGCACTGATTCTAAGAGCAGTTGAATTGAATCTCTCGGGAGATCAAGATCATCAAGTTTTTCCCAAATTGGGGAATGCTCATTTGCAATCCACTGCTTTTCTTTTTTGTAGCTTACTTTGAACTGGAATGATGTAGATAACTATTAACTATTTCTGTGTATCTCAGAAATGAGTGCAGCAATATTGCATTTTTGGAAGAAGTGTAACGCCAATTCCTCTTAACATGTTTTTGCTCCTTTTTCCTCTACTACTAATTTATCCTCTCACGCTTAATCTTTGGCCTTTTTTGTTTGTCTCTTCTTTGCTACCGCCTGAGGTTTTGACCTGACTCCACAAAGTTTCTTTTTAAGCCACAGGTTAGTCTGTCTTCTAATTTGCTTGAAATAATCAGTGTAATGCTTGGTTTTACACAGCACGCTAGCAAGATCTGAAAGCTGACCCACTCTTAAACTGTGTATTTTGTGTGTTGGTATTTGTTTTGGTGACTAAAATTTAGTGTTTAAAGCTCCCCTTCATGATAAATCTTTGAAGATGAAGGTGTCAATGCTCCATGTGCCCAACTGATACTCTGTGTCTGAGAATGCAAGAGACTCAAATTATAGAGGATTACTTTTGCAGCAAAATCTGCTGCTGTGCTTGAAGTAGCCCCTGTAATTGGAGAAGGGGCTTAATCTCAACTATGAGATTCCAGTCACTGTCCAAGTGATTTGGAAGTTTGGGTTTGAAGGATTTTTGACCTGCCTCTCTGACAGCGTTATGCCAGCAATCTGATTCACTTTTTCTGGACACAAGTAGCATTCAGATCCCATCAGTTGGCCTGAAATATTGTGCTAATAAGTAACTTTTTCCCTAGTAACCCCTATTTTCTTTTTAATCCTGCTTTGGAGCATACTTTGCTGCTTCTTTTCTTCAGATACACTTAAATCCTGTTACCTTGCATGACCCAGGAAAAAATGTTTACAGAATTTTTTTAAGCAAGTAGGTGGAAATGGAAACTTGTGCCATGGTCAGTGAGGTGGTCATGAAAAGTCTTGACAAGGCTGTTCTGTTAAGAAATGCTGGTGTTTCTGTAAAAGAGGTGGTGCCCATGGACAACCACGTGATGCTAAGTTTTGAAATATCTTTGAATGAGACGTGCTGCTTTGAATTTTCACCTTATCAAGACTAGAGGAGTATTGCTGTTTGAAAGGGCCTTTAACTATACTTATTTTTTAGGTTAACATTCCTTCATGATTGACTTAATCACCTCAGTCTTTAACTACATTTGGAAGGATATTTCAGTTTCTCACTACTGAGTGCTTTGCTTCAGTAAAGACTAAATTTTTCTTGAAAGTAGACATGTATTTAGAACTTAAGCCACTGTCATTGTATTTAAGTTACAAGGTATATTGTGCAGTGATTTTTTGGTTGGGGGGAAGCAGTGTCACAAGATCTCGTTTATGTTGAGCTTCAGAACAAATCTGATCAATGTATGCTCTGACATTTGGCAAATTACAGTGAAATACTGTATTAGGCTTCCCCTCTAATGTGTTGTTCCTTTTTAGCCTCTGTAGTGCGACAATCTTCATATTTGAATGCAAAGAACCAATAGCTTGTAAGGATGCCTCACAGAGTAGTTATTGCAGTTTTAAGTTTCTCAATGTGCTTACTATTTGGTAACGCATGCTGTTATCACAATGATGAGAAGATAAGAGTAGTGCTGGGAGTCGTGTATTCAAAATTACTTCAATGGAGTTACGTAACGTAACTTTAATAGAGAGTTATATTAACTCAACAAATGCCACTGCTTGTATTGTTGCAGAAGTGGCCGGTCTCATGATGTTGACGCTTGTATTTCCGTCTGCCCAGCCAATTTCGCTTCTCTCTCACTTACTCTCGAATGTATTTCTTTTACATACACCTATATTTTTTACAAATACCTATATTTAATGGAATGAATAAGTCATGCAGCGATACCTAAAATGTACCTATTGTGTCAAATCCTGCTTTCCTGTTTATCCGTGAAGTGGCGGAGAATAAGAACAACAGATATAATTTGGGTTTTGTGCAGCTGAACTATCAGAAAATTACTTCCTTCGGCCTTGCTCATGTGCATTCATACCCTCTAAGTTTCATTTTTCAGACACCCAGATTAGATATCAGGACCCTGAAGGAAGGAACTGTGTCATCTCTTGTTCATCCTGTACATGGAGTCCAACTACCGGTCAGAATATTGTCTTCACTAGCTTCTGGCAATGCCCATATTTTTCACCTTCCTGAAGTTCATAACTCATGTCACTAAAATCCGGTTTGCACAGAGTGACATTTAGAAATAAGATAGAAAATACTGAAATGGATCTCTTAAATCCAAACCAACCAGAAAATGAACTAGTGAAAACAGTAATGAAACACACTATTTCCATTTTTCAAGCTAAAATACAATACAACACAGCTAATGCAATAGTTAAAAACCCAAACACACACACACACCCCCCATCAGAGTTTTTTTTAACTTCAAAAGTCTCTTTGAAAATCTTTGCTGCTTGTTGCCCGTGGAAGGACACTTATTTCTAAAATATAACTTGAGTTATCTTTGAGAAATTGGCTGGAGTCTAAGGTGTAATTAATCTTCTCTGGAAAGTAAAACTATGTTGGTTAATCTGACTTTGTTTTGCGCTTATACCTTAATTCGACGTCTACCTCCTCCTGCCCCCAACACTAGTACTGAGTATTTTGAAAGTGTAGCTGTAGTTAACAAAATGTGCTTGGGAAACAGGAACAATTGAATGAAAAGAGCATGAGGTGTAGCACACTAAGCTGATCTTCTCTCTCTTGCTGTCGCCTGGAACTGCTTCCAAGTATTTTAGATAATTGTGATCCAGGCTGTTTTAGAGAACACAGTACCCTGTTTTCTCAGAGGGCTATAGATAAACACGTCTAGAAAACTGCACATGAAAAACACGTACCCGAGATCCTGCTATAGCTTGGTGCCCTGCTCTTCATGCAGTGTTGTGTGGGAATGACAGCTGGATCTAATCCTCAGCACACAGGATTTTTGAGGAAACAACTGGCAAATTCCTTCCTTTACAAGACAGTGACCAATGTTTGTATTAGCAAGTCAGCTTGTTTCTGCCCACACCCAGTGATGGTTATGCATCTGTGGGGAGATGTGCTGGACTGGAGCAAGACAGTCTTTCGGAGCTATGCAACTAGTGTAGTTCCTATGTTAGATGTATTAAAAGCTTTATTACTTCTTAAATGGCTTGTATAGTTTAGATTTTAAAATCTTGGCTTGGTCGGTTTTGAGACCTCTACCACAAATGAGTTCTGGTCAAATTGAGAAAATTTGACTCTTATGTGCTACAAAGCCTATGGTAATGATGAGGGAAAGCACTGAATGGAGTAAGCAGAGTGCTACTTTCCTTCCCTTTTAAGTGCTCATCACCTGTGAGGTTCCTGAACATGCTACTTGAGTGTTTCTCACTGGTTTGCTTCCAGAAACCACCTCTCTATCCCCACCATGACATCTGTGTTCAAATCTTTTACCCTCTCTAAGATGTGTGTCCAAACCAGTTTTCAGTAGTGTGCTGGCCCAGCTGCCTGTGCTTCCAGTATGTGGATATGTGCTTTATAGGGAACAGCACAGCATTTTCACTTGCAGACAGCATGGTTCAACAGCTGCTTCTCTCATAGTCTCTTATTTCAGTTTCTTTATAGTGTGGGAATAAACACCTTTTCACATTTGCTATGAAGTATTTAGTCTGCTGTACAAATATAGCTCATCTTGTTGTGGAGCTAAGTTCAGGTGGTTGGGGAACCTTAATTTCCTGGATTTTTCCTAAAATTTCTTCCATTTGCATTTGTGTAGTTCAGCACAGAAAAAAATGAAATTAGCTTGGTCCCACAACTTGTTCTGTGGCAGCTGCATGAAGGCCGGTACGCTGGCTACATATGCATGTTGCTTGTTTTCTGTTAAAAGTTTCAGTTCAATAAACATCATAAAATGAGAATTTGATGGGTAATCAAGTTCGTATCAGTATATTTCCCTTAACTTGCACAAGCATTCTGTGTCTATTTGTAAACAGTAGTGCCCCCTCTCCACTTTTTTTTTAACTGAACATCAGGTTAAAAATAATGACAAAGTTCTGCAGAAGCCTTTGTGATACAGGCTATTCTGTCCAGTCTGCTCGTGCTACGCCCTTGAGTCTCTACAGGAGTCGTGTCCAGTTCTCTCATAGCTTACTCAGTCTTCAGAACCAAATCAGTGTTTTCTTAGTGATTTTCTTACAGTCTGAAACCCCATAGAGTGTTTTTGGATCTTCAGTGGTTTTCTTACTACTTCTTCAGGGAGCTTACATTAACGTGCATGCTGAATGGGAAGGAATTCTAGTTCTAAAACTCTTATAGATAACAAGGAGTAGATACCGAGCAATGTTTTTTTTTCTCTGATTATCTCTTGATAGTGGACTTCTTAGTCTTGTAAAGCCTTATGAGAGGAATGTCAGAGTCTTGTGTATTTCCCTAAGAGCAAAAGGAAACTCACGTTTGATTACACACGTCCATGCTTGTGGGCCTTATTGAGGGAATTCTGAAGGGCTTCTCTGAGCTCTTCTTCTTTTTGTCTCAGTACTTCATAAGCAAGTAAAGGGTGTTGCCGTGGGGAGAAACAGAATAGCTGAGGTTCCCTGCATCTGTGTGATTGGGAGAGTTCTGTTGACTTGTTCAGAAGTAATGTTTGCTTTCTCATATATGTATTGGAAAACAATAAATGTTCCAATAAAATTGAAAGCTTCTATCTATATGATCCATAAACCAGTTCTCATGACCATTGTCTCCTTCACCTCTGGTGTTGTCTCATTCCTCAAGTTTTCTTTTGTCCCTCTTCCTCTTTGCGTGATGTAGGCTCTTGGCCTTAGTAGTTACGGGTATGCTTTCCCATCTGTCCTTTCATCTTTGGCTTGTATCTATTTTATAAAGTTCTGCTTTACCCGTTTTTCCTCTGATTTTTATTGCTGCCTTAGTTGGGTTTTTTCCCCCCCTCTTTTGTACCTTTGGAGAAGAAAATCGCTCTCATAGACCTCTCCTTACTGCTTCCTCTCTTAATTTCAAATTAATTGTAGAAGACCTCTCCACTTTGTCACTTGATTCAACCCCTTCTGAAAATACCCCATGCATGCCAGAAGCCACTTGCTTCACCAGAAACTAGGTGCTGTTCCTAGTGTCCAACTTTACAAATGACTTTAACAATTAGACTAGAACAGTCAGAGTACTCATATATAGATTGTATGGATTTTTACAATGTGTTATTATACAGCAAATAAATATCTTCAGGTTTATAT